TTGGTGTCTCTCCAATTCGGAGACAAGGATGTCGTGCAGTACAGTGTCAAATGCTTTGCACAAGTCCAGGTAGATGATGTCAACTGCTCTGCCGCTGTCCATCAGTTCTGCAGTCCCATCATAGGTGGCCACCAAATTGGTCAGGCGGGATTTCCCCTTAGTGAAACCATGTTGGCTGTCACCAGCCACTTCATTGTTTTTCATGTGCTTCCACATTCTTTCCTGGAGAATCTGCTCCAAGATTTTGCCTAGCACAGAGGTGAGACTGACTGGTCTGTAGTTTCCTGGGTCTTCCACTTTCCCCTTTTTGAAAATGGGGCTTACGTTTCCCTTCTTCCAGTCATCAGGAACTTCACCTGACTGCCATGATTTTTCAATTACGATGGACAAAGATGGGATCCCTTCTTTTGACAGCTGTTAAATGAGCTGTGTTGTCATACTGCTAGCTGATGCTTTCCCACAGAAGTTTTTGAAGGGAAAATACCTCTTCTACTTTTGAGGACAAGTACATCTGTGGAGTAATAGGGGAAATTGGAGATCATCCCCCAAATCCTCAATTATGTTACAATAGTAAAGAAATTTTAGGGTAAAATGCAGCTGCTACTTTTGGGATGGAATGTGGTTAGCATGCACTGAACCTATCCTACGACAGTTCCCCATGCACCCCTGTGACCTTAGCTTATGCCAAGATAAACTGAAAGGAGAGTGAAGACACCATGGTGAGGCTCTGTTATACTCCTCCCAGGTGTGGGGACACGAAGAGGCAATGTACTGATAAACCATCTAGCAACTGACAAGGATTGTGAAGTGAGAGTGTCACACCAAAATAGGTATGATGAGCCACTCAAGCTCCGTAGGTGTTTAGTTAAAGCTCCATAGGCATATATTTAAACTTCACAATCACATTTTGTTAAAATTCCGTAGCTATTTAGTTAAGAAATTGAAACTTCTGTTACTGTGGAAGAGCCTGAACAGATACAAGGGACTCTTACAGGGTCAGGAGACCTGAGAAACAGCAGTGGTTTATGGCGAGAACTGATAGCTGGAGTAGGCAGACTGAGAAAAACAAGACTGAGGGAAAACAGGATTGAGGAAAAGAAGACTGAGATAAACAAGACTAACAAACCTGTCATCAAGAAAGACTATTCTTGAAGACTGCTACATTCTGACACCTTGACAATTGTCAAAATAGGTTATTCATGGGTGAAAAAACCACAATTGGGTATCCTTTGGTGAACTATCCTCATTATAATCTAATTTTAATACTAAAAATCACACCCACGGGTCAAAAGACCTTTGCCTGAGTCAGGAGACCCTGCCTGAGCACATGTAGTTAAGCATTTAATTATACGATCCTTATGCAGGTTAGTTGACCAGTTGGTAAAAGATGGGAGAGTTATGGGGAGTTGTTATTCCAACTAGATCCTATAAATCTGTGAAATTGGAGGGGGGGGGGAATGAGAGGGAAGACTCCATCACCACTGCTGGGATCATTGCCAGGCTGAACCTGTCTTTTCTCCCCCATGGGGACACCTATTGGTTGGTCTGTGCTCATTTCATGATTGATTTTTAGCTGGCTTTATGAATTATTTTCACACTTGTTCTCAAAGTATTTTACACTGTCACTGGCAATCTTCAAACCTTAAAGCCATCAGAAAATTATATAATAAAAACTCTTAGTTAAGATCTATTTTCTGTGAGTCTCTGGAGACTTAAATTGACTTACAGTTGGATTAAAAACTTAGAAAACGTTAACTTGGTGGGTGAACCTGCTCCCATGTAACCTGAATAGGATGGTGGAATCACCCTCTGAATGTGTGGTGTCCTGGGGAGCGCCTGCAGAGGCCTCTGACAGAGTAATGGGGTTCAGGGATCTCTTTCCTGGGGTGATAACAAACCTGTCACGCTTACAGGTGAAGAGGTGAAATCTTCCCCCTTAACTGGAAGGAGTGTGTGTGTGTGTGTAAACCCCTTACTGGGGTAAAGACCCCCTTAAAGTGACAACATCCCAAGCCTGTTACTACAGGAAAATGTTCAGAGGTTGTATGTGCCAAGAACAGAATTAAATGCCCCCTTTTTGTTGTTGTTACAGCTTGGTAAAAGAGAATGCATACTGAAAGGACAAAACAATAATCTGTGCAAGGAGCTGGCATCTTCCTTCCGTAGAAGCAGGTGTGAAAAGTAGCATGGAAACTGCAGGGTATGATCAGAGAGTTGCAGCAGATGGGATGTTGTGCTGGCTGTCAGCTCAGGAGCATAAAAAGAAAACTGAAAACCGGACAGGTAGGATAAAATCGTAGATAATTTTGCACACTGAAGCAACTCTTTCATAGCTTGGGCATTTAAGGTAATGTCAGGTGCTGCTATGAAATAACTTCTTGGGCTGATGCAGTATGGAACTGCTTGGAGTTCAGTGGAGAGACTTGTTACAGATTAAACTACAGCATACACAGTAATACACTTACAGTTGTGACAAAACTCAAATTTACTTACAGTCGTGACAAAACTCAAATTTACTTAACCTGCCTTAAGTTGTGAGTCAGTAGCTATGGCTGGCTGGCTAATAATGCTGAGTGTTAAATCCTTTTAAGTAACATGCTGGTGTTTGAAGGGGCAGTCCCCATTCTTCCAAAGCAAGAGAAGGAATGTGGTGATTTAAGTGGAAGATACACAGTAAAACTCAGATATGACTGCCTTGGAGCTTTTTGCAGCTGGAGAGCCAGTAAGCCCTTGACTAAAGTTTGTTTCTGTGAGTTATTTTTTTTCTTCTGCAGAAGAAAGTAATAGGATATTTTTAGTAATACCATTTAGTATTTGGTTCTTGGGTTGGGTTTGTTTGGGTGTTTTGTTCTCTTTGTTTGGTGTTTTTTATATTAACTGTAGTTCTAGACTAAAACCTTAATGAGTTCCTTCAGCTTGTAAAAGATACAGTTCAGAAGGCTGATAAGTCAAACCTAATACTAATGGCAAGATTGTATGTGTAAGTACAGTCAGGTTTCAAAGTTAACTGCTGACTGGCTTTGAGGAAATCTTAGTGATAAACCGTCTGCAAGACAAGGCAGTTTTCCTCGCATGGGTGTTTGAGGGGACTGATGGGAAGGCTGCAAGCCTGGCTGGGCATTAGCGCTTTTGAGGAACTAGCTGCACACGCATGTCTGGAATCTCTCATGCTGTTAAAGGATTATGCCCTTCAAGTGAGAAGCTGGCATGGGAACCGGTCTGCAGCATCAGAAACACTCTTTGCAGTGTATTTTAAAAAAGAAATATGGTCCAATTTCAAGTTTTCCATTCCTTTAATTGAAACTGTAACAAAAACTCATTGGTGGTGTTAATCTAATGTTTGACTCTAGATAAGATGTGGGGAGGAGGGTGGAGAGGGAAGGAGCTGGCTGACAGAGTTTTGAAAGAAACCTTGCACAGAACCTTGCCCTGCCCCTATTTGAAGCTGTTCAGAATTAGAGCAGTGAGGAAAGGTTCAGTGTTCGAAGTTCTCCAATACTGGAATGTATCTATAAATCAGTTTATGAAATGTTTGAATAGTTGACGAGTGCATGCGGGCAGTCATTCTGCAATAGTAAAGAAGTGTGAGTACTCTTAATTTATATTTGTTCCTCAAGTACTCAAAAGTAATGATGTGTTGAGGAACTCTACTTTTCAAGCTTTTCAGACTTATGTGAAAGTATATCATTTCCTCGGAAAGATAGTGGGTTTGGAATTGTGTAAAGGGTATCTGGAAATACTTCTCGGGTTTGTTTTTAATTTCAGGGATTTGGTGTAAGGTGGTCTTGATGAATGTTCACTCAGGTGTCTGGCAGATGTTGGTAGTCTTAATCCTGGTGGGTTTTTTTTGTCTAAAGATTAGAAAAAAAAATGGTAATTTACCACTTCACAAAGTGGGTGTTTATATGAGGTGTGTTTTCACTGCTGGTAATCTTAAGGCTTTATTGGCTGTTCTCCTGAACAACAGTGACTACTGACACTCGGTTGTTCCTTAGGTGACAGGATGTAATCAGTCTTTTTCCCTAAAAGGAATATTATTTCTCATTATTCAAGATGAATCTGTTTTACATGTGAACTTTCTCTTTTTACAGTGCTGTAGGTAAAACATGCCTACTCATCAGTTACACAACCAATGCATTTCCTGGAGAATATATACCCACTGTGTAAGTACTTACAAAATCCTAAGAACTCATTTATGTCACATTCTCCATGCGTACTGCCAGTCCAGCTTCCTTGTTTGAATTGGCTGCAAACACTCCTCAGTTTCATCTTAAATGTTTAACTGAGCATCTAGGTGTGTGCTGTCAGGAGCACCTTTGAGCTTTTACTGCTTAGCACAGTCATACCAGGGCTGCTTCATGTCCGGTCAGTTTTGCCTCCATCTGCCCTCTAGCCCTGGCGTATTAGGGACTAACATTTTATCAGATGCTGTTCTCTTTTAAACTAATGTATTATTTCTGTCTTTAATATCATTCATAATAAGCAGTCCCAAGGCTGTGCAGCTTGTAAAACATTGTATCCTAGTCAGAAGCAGTTGGTTTACATGACTCATTTTTTTTCCATTTGTTCCTTCTGTGCTATTGCCAGTCTTGTGCTGAGCCAGCCACAGCTCTAGAGTTCCGCAGGCAAGATTGTGGGGACTCATTTATTTTGGTGCTTCCCATTTTCTTGCAAGTAAGGATTTGTCAGTATCAGTATTAGTGCAGTTCTGTTTTTGAGGGTCTGTGTGTGGGAGGCATTTTATACTCGAGCAGCTTCTTTGCCCTTTTCAGATGTCTCTCTGTTTATCTGGCTATATTGCTCTCTGTGAGTATGGATGAGTTTTTCAGATGACAGAATACATTCTAATGAGATTTACAGATGGTTTTCATTACCCTTCCAAGGCATTGTTGTCTTGATTACTCCCATTTCCGGTTTTTTTTTTTGTCAGATTAATTCAGATTTTTGCATTACAATATGCTTGTGTTCCCAGTGAGCTTAGTTAAGCCTCAACAAGTCATTAAGACCTTTGTGCTCACAGTGGTAATGAGATAAAAATGGTGCCTCTACTGGCCCCTGGTTATTAACTTTGGTATTTCATTGGAGAGGGTTTTGGTTAGCAGCATTACCAAGAGTTTTGTTGTGCTTTTTCATTTCTTACCCACTGTTGTTAGGAAGGATTCCTTGGTTGTTGCGCATGTATCTTCTATCTCTTACAAAATGAGATGGATTGACTTGCTGACTGTCCCACGAAGACTGGAAAGTACTTGCTGAGTATATCATCTGCTTTCCTGCAGTTACTGAGATTAACACTTCCTTTGGAAGACGAGTGAAAAAGATGACTTCTGTTCCGCACATCTTTTTCTTCCATTACCCAATACCAGGCTCACTATTTAAAGAAACAACTTTACTGTTTCTGGGGAGCAGAAAGATGCAATAAAAATGTTCTCTTTCCTAGTGTTCCCAATTAGGAATCTGTAGAGAAAAAGTCCTTGGTGCCCTGTGTACTGCAGGCTAATGCAGCTAACTCTTTATTTTTTAGTTTCGACAACTACTCTGCTAATGTAATGGTCGATGGAAAACCAGTGAATCTGGGTTTGTGGGATACAGCTGGTCAAGAGGACTATGACAGACTACGTCCGCTCTCCTATCCGCAAACAGTAAGAGCTACAGTGTGAAATTAGAAAGAATCTGTACAGCTTTGTCTAACCTAAAGGTTTTCTCTTTTTGAGCATTAGGCCAAAGTTACCACTTCTGGAGTAGTATTTCTTAGTCACAGTGACTTGCTGCAAGCTACCTTCCTTCATCCTACCTTCTGTAGCTGTAATATTACAATCTTTGTACAGTTGTACAAATGTTAACATTTGCGTGCTTGTGTATTTGTGTGCACTTGTTGGCTTCTCTGTAGTTGCAGCCTCAGACTCAGCTAGAATGCTTGATTTAAAACAGGAAAAAAACAAACAAAAAAACCCCAAGCCCCAAAACAAAACCAAAAACCCCTTGGTGAATAGTCCCATCAGTTAGTCCATTGATTTTAAGGTTAGCATGCCTGCCAAAAGCAGGGTTTGTTTTTGTTTTTAGGCACATGTTTGGCCGCAACCTGACACTGTCACTGCTAAGCACTTTATATGGTTTAGTCTGAGAAGATGTTCTAAATGTGAGAGGCAGAATGAATGAAGATATTATTGGGATTGACAGCGGCTACATCAGAGCTTTCAAATGTACTTAAGCCCATGGCTGTTTTATTACTTACTGTAGCTTGTGCTATAACATCAATACAAATGTGCTTCTGTCTTCCATGTTTGCAACTGGTTAAGTCCTGTCTGCATGCTGCATCCTTCTGTGTATAAGGAGAATGCTGAAGTAGTCTGCTCTTTACTTTTCAGTGCAACCCCAGCTATGTTTTATGCGTGCAGACGCTGGGTTTCTAGTCTCTTTAGAGCAGTTATTTTTATCTGGTGGAGCTGTGCTATAAGAAAGATGGTAATTTTCAGGGGGTTTGGCATTGATTATTGTTGTTGCTAACTGTCAAATATATATCAATGCTCATAGTGTAAAATGAAGAATTGTTCCAGTTACTTTACAGAATAACTGAATACTGCTTTCTTGAATAATGTGACTTACGTAAGGAAAACTGGTGCGCTTTTTTTTTTTTCCTTTTAAGAAACTGTTTTAATCCACAGTTTTCCTTAACTCACTGCTCACTAACTCACAATTAGGCTTTCCCCTCCATTACAATACCCAGGATAGATGTGAACTTGCCAGTTGTAGGCAGCTCTAGTTAGAAATGCCAGAAATATCTGCCTTTTGTAGGAAGAGAGACAGTGGAAAGCTGGTTTTACCTAATATGTAGATATGTGCAGTATATCTAAAACACATCTCAGCTTAGAGAAAGGTATGATGAAAGATCACAAAATAGTGTGAGAAAGCAGAGCTGTAAGGGACAATATTGTTCCTGCCTCATGACAAAGAGGCAGAACACATGTGCCTGTCTTCAGCCTCCTAAAATAACAGTGGCTTTCTGATACACTGCAAAATAATTCCATGTCAATCTAAGCATACTTTTGGGGAAGAAAAATCTCTCCTGTACAAGCATGGGTAACTGTTAAATAAAGGTTTGAGGGACTTTCAGTTATTTAGATTGTTTCTTACAGCAGAAAATGAAACAGGGTGGTAAGTCTTGGAACTCCTTATGAAGCAGCCTTCAGATGTTTTCCTTGTGTGGAACAGAGCAGTAGAGTTGATGAAACCTGACTTTTTTTAGGATCTGTGTTCAGCCTCCTTATTCCTTCAGTGTGCTACTTAAACCCCGCCCCTCACATTTTGGTGGCCCTCCATTTCCCTGTATCTGCACCTGAACTACGTTCTGGGTGAGGTGAAAGCAGATTTTGCTGGGGACTTGGCCAATGTATGTATCATCTCCATTAGCCTCCTGGCAGTTCAGCAGCTGTCAACTTCACAGGATTTTGCTGTAGTGGAGGCATTAATTTGTGTCTTTTTCCTTCTCCCCACCCCTTAAAATATTCAGGAATTTAATACCTTCTCCTGACTGTATTTATAATCTACCACTATTTCAAAATAATTGGGGAAGAAGTTGGGACAGAAAAGGTGGCTTCCTTTTGAGACCAAACCTAAAAGCAAATTAAGTTAGGAGGATGCTTTTCATGAGAGGTTTGCTCTTACTAGTGTTCTCTGATGATGAAGACAGACATTTACAGGTTTGTGGGGAAGTCTGGTGGCCTGTTCTGGATGCAGGCAGTTGGTTGTGCTGAATCACAGGGCAGCATCTCCCTTGGGAAGAAAAGCCGTGTTGTGAGTATTTGTGAGCACAAATTACTGACTGAGAACATTTCCCCGTAAATCCATTTTTGGAGTAACTTTATCTCCTACTGTTATTAGGTTGGAGGAACCAATGGTAAGAATCTATCTTCCAGTCTGACAGATCAACCTCTTGCCGTATGTAAAACTTTAAGTAAACTTCAGTTCCAAGTTCTATCATCTCGTCTTGCTTATGATAGTGATAAATTGGCCCCTATTTTTTAAACAACTTCTTTTCTTGGAACTATTGCATTGCTGCAACTGAGAATTCCATTACCAGATCTCTCTATATGAGTTGCTAAGACTAAAAACCTTTTCTTGGAAATAAATAGCTTTTCCTCCTGCTTAAGTAGTGTGCAAGACACAAGAAATCTTGAAGTAATTCCTCATGATTACACTGAATTTTTTGATGTCTGGAGCTAGTAAAGGAGAGTCTGCATAATATGCAGAACTTCAGTTATCACAAACCTGCAGATTGGAAAACAGAAGTAGTGGCCATAGTATCACATTATTTGATGTTGTTTCTTTCTTCTTCTGGGACGCTGCTACGGAAACTTGTTGGGGTGCATGAACAAATGGGTTGCAAGTGCTTAGCAGTGCAGATGTCAGCTGCTGACCTAACAAAATGCCTTGAAATGCAGCACAATCAACTAACATTCTGAAATGCCTGATTCTGTAACACAGTTGATACTGTGATTAAGTACGGATGCAGAGGTAGGTTGGGGAAAGCTGGGCTTGTTTGAGAGATGCTGATTGAGTTTGGGGTCATTCAGCAAGATTACAGTCTTCATCATCTTAGAGAAAACGCATTTCATGGTTATTCTGAATGCTTGCAGAAAACAGTCTATATGAAGTTCATTGTTTTTTGAAGGGGTTTGGTGTAAATGTGCTCTAAAATGTTTTTACCAGGTCTTATGATCTTTCTTTTGCCTTCAATTGAAAAGTGAGATGTGCAAGATCCCTAAAACACCCACTTCTGAAGTTTTTAATGCTCTTCTCAATCCTAATCTTGATACAGAGAAATTCTGAGATCTTTTTATACCAGTAGTCAGTAGAAGTGACAGTTCTACAAGATTCTTCTGATTTGGACATGGAAATAATAAAAGTTACTGTGTGATTCTCTTATTCCATAGTATATATTTACCCTTGCAACTGAAGACTTCAAAGTAGTTTATTAGTAGTATATTAATACTTAAAAAATGGATGCCAAGAGTTAACACTTTGCAACGCCTTGTGCTGATGAATTACTTGTCTTTCAAGGCTTAACTCAGAGGTCTGCAGAGTTTCCATCGCCAGGTTAGAAGCCAGGCTGATGACTCCTCATTGCTTCATGTGTTTGTCAAGGATCTGAAGTAGTTTTGGTTTTTTTCTGAATGTCATTGAAGGAGAAGAGACATTTAGGGCGGGGAAGAAGCTTGCAGTGCAATGCTACTGGAGTTGTAGTTGCTGGATACTGCAGTAGCCGATTGTAAACCTGACTACACTATTCGCTGTTGGTTTTCCCCTTCTTTGTGTCTGCTTGTAGCTGCCTGTGAATGGATTTCCCACTGAGACAGCTGCCTCCACCTGTCATGGGCAAGTGTACTGTTGACCTTGCCTTTTGCAAGCATGGTGCAGCTGACAGGGTCATACAGGTGTGGCTGGTATTGGCCTCTTCATGAGCTTTTACAATGGTTGCTCTGCTGTGCTAATTTCTATCAACTTGTTTTGTAGGATGTCTTCTTAATCTGTTTTTCCCTTGTGAGTCCTGCTTCCTTTGAAAATGTCCGTGCTAAGGTGAGTATAAGCTGGTACCATTTTATTTCTAAGTAAGTGTTCAACATACTGCTCGCTGGGCAGCAGTGGATGGAAAACAGGGGGTGATTTATTTTTGGCAGGCAAAACTTGTGAACTGTAGTCTGAAAAGGCAGAAATTCATTTGCCCAGGTTACCAGTCATGGAAGTTCAGGGCACATGAAATACTATGAATTGTTCTGATACAGTGATAACAGTAGTTTAAGAGTATTCAGCTGACAAGGTGCTGAGATCACAAATGCCAATTAAATGCAATTTAAAGAAAAATATTTAAATCCAAATGCATATAATAATGAGGTTGATACCACTTGTGTGCTCTTGCTGTTGCAGTCATTCATATCTGTGGACAACTCAGCTGTATGGCACTGGGGAAACCTCACAAAGGAGAGGTGGTCTTTGTGGGTAAGGGAAGTGCAGATCAGGGCTCTTCTGGTGCGTGGAGAAAATCCAGCCCTTGGTAGGGTAAATTTTTAAACCATATGGAAATACTTGTTGGCTTCATTGAAAGAGTTTTGCATTGTCTGCTCTTTTCTGATACTGCCTCGATGAGGTGTCACGTTCTCCCTTTCCTCTTCGACTCCGGAAGTGTCATGAAGGGCTGGAAGCCCTTGTGGGAATCTGCCCCCCCCAACCCAAACTTTTCTTTGCAGTGGTATCCGGAGGTGCGGCACCATTGTCCCAACACTCCCATCATTTTAGTGGGCACCAAACTCGATCTCCGGGATGATAAGGACACTATTGAAAAACTGAAGGAGAAGAAGCTGACTCCCATCACCTACCCACAGGGCCTTGCCATGGCAAAAGAGATCGGTAGGATGACAGCAGGGTTATTGTTGAGCTACACTTGGTCTGTGTTAGATGTACCTTAAAAATAAGTGCCTGGCTTCTGTTGTAGTTACCTTGCAGCAGTGCTGCTGTGACTGGGGAAAAGCTGCTTTGTAACAGCCTTTCTGCTTCCACAGGTGCAGTGAAATACCTCGAATGCTCAGCACTTACGCAGCGAGGCCTCAAGACAGTGTTTGATGAAGCCATCCGAGCAGTTCTGTGCCCCCCTCCTGTAAAGAAGAGGAAGAGAAAATGTCTGCTGCTGTAAACGTTACCCTCCCCCACCCCACTCCAAACCCTGTGCTTTGCTCGGAACAATGGAGCATTCACACTCAATGCCAAGTTTTTCTGTTATAAATTAGTTCTTTTCCATAAATTCTTGAACCAATCAACAATTTCACAGTTTCCTTTTGTTTCAAGAATGACAGTTACCTTCTAAAAGCAAACTCCTGAAAAGACAAACACATGTAAAGCCTTATTTTTAAAATCCTATTCTTGCTCAATTAAGTGTTGCCAAACTATCTGCTGAACTAAGTTGCGTTGTTGTGCTACGAACACTAAGCACTAAACTGTTTTTTAAAGATTCTTCTGAAGATGACTCTAATTTCTGGTAGGAAATGCAAAAACACTTTCTAGTTTTTCACAGTAAGTAGCAGTACCGGGTCATTAGCGAAACACTGCACTCAAATGTGGTTTATTACTGAGTGGTATCTCAACCCACAGTCATTGCGCAGCGTTGTAGACCAGACCCAAATTGCTGGCAATGACTGACACCCGTGAGTCACAGTGTAAAATGCTTTATCGTGGGTAAGGGCTTGGTTGCAATCTAGTTCTTGCTGCTGTGATCTAAAGAATAAATAAATAACTATTCGTACTGAAGTGTATCTAGTCCTTTTGACAGCTTTGTGTTGTGATGGATAAAGGAAATAGTGGGTTGGATCAAATGATAGTGCCAGACAGTATTTCGATGCCGTACAGCTGACTTACACTACACTGCCAGGGTAGCTGAAACTGAACTGACTCTTAGTGCAGGTTAAAACCGGGGCCTGCTGTCCCAGAGGTGCAGCAGTGGAAGAGAGGTTGGTGTTCACAGGTAAATTCCGTTGAATTTCAAGTAGGGCATTTGTTTAGGTACAACTCTGAACCAGTCATTCCCACAACTGTTGTGTAGTAAATGCTTTTCTTGTAGAATCTCTTCTTACTGAGCAATATAAACTTGTATTTTAAAACCCTTCTGATGATAGACATTTGCTTTTTTTTTCTTTGTAGAGTAGAATGTTGAAGCATATCCTTCTTATTTTCCTGTTATTTCTGACCCAGTAAGTTATATGCTTTCTGAGGAGCTTTTACTCTATTAACTAGGTGTAAAAATCATGTGAAGCAGCTTTACACATTTTAGTAATTTTTTGTATTTTAAACCTCTATAAACTACAAATTTTCTCACCTATCCCTCTTTGCAAGCTCTCCCCACCACTGTAACGTTACTAATGCAGACAAGTGTTCTTTATGTCACTACATGTACATGTGCAGCATAGGCTGAGTAATGGTAACCTGGGTCTGTGAGGTTCTGTAAACTAGTGCTCATGTTCTGTACATTCTAAGCGGGCAGGAATACGATGTTGAACTACACCCTTTCAACCACTAAAGCAAAATTTACAAGTAAAAGTTGCAAAATTGTGAAGTTTTTACATTGATCTTTTGCTAATGCAATTAGCAGTATGTTTTGCATGTATGACTTAATAAATCCTTGAATCACATGTGTGGTAATGTTTGTGTTTCTCAGCAAGTGTTCTCATTCTTGCACCACTCTGTTTCAGGGTTGTTCCTCTGCTGCCACCAGCAGCCCAGTGCAATGCTCCCCACTGGTGGTGTGAGGGGTACCCTGATGTGAAGAACCAGCATTAAATACAGCACTTGGCACCATTTCTTTGGAGGCCGTGCATTATCACTGGCGTTCTTAGTGGCTCCTTATGATGCTTATGAAGCATTTTAAAGCTGCTGCCACCCTGGGGAAAAAAACACACCCATTTCACTGTGTTGTGTGCAAAGAAAAGTGCTTTTCCTCTAAAACTGACTGACTTTTTACCAACTGGTAAATGATGGCTCTGTTTGTGTTTAAATGCCTCAGATTTTAGCCTTTTAAAGTTACAGCTGTGCTGTTGCTTGTCAGGGCAGGAGCGTGCTGCGCTCCTGCTCACTCCAGGGGAGTTGGAGGGTGACTCTGCAGTACCCTGAAAGTGGCACCCCTGCTCGAGGAGGAAGTATGTGCTTGGTCTTTGCTAGTGGTGGTGCCTTACCTTGCTGCACAGCCTCTAGCTCTCTGGACAGCTCTAAACTAGTAACTTTCATCTCACACCAGCATACCTGAATGTAATAAGACAAGTTTTTAGAGTGCATTTTTATTTAGTCTCCATATCAAGTATCACTGCAAGAACAGCCACACAGTTTTCTCAAACACATCATATTACTTTTAAATTTTTTTTTCTTTTAAATAAGAACTACTGAGCCTTAAAAGAAGTTAAAATAGTTGCACACTAGAAACAAGGAATCCACTTAAAATTAGTGTAACTGGTTATATATTTTTGGCAGAATTGGATCGGTGCTCTTGGTAGTCAGAGCTACTGACTAGCTAAGATGCCGCTAGCAAAGATGAATAAAGGATTGGGTTTATTTAGTCTTCTGATTAAGTAGTTCTAGTAGGGGTTTAAAATCAGTAAAAGTAGTTACGTGGCTCAACAACTATAAACAACAGATAAAAGAATATTGCACACGTATGTCCAAGCAGCATTTAACCACGACACCCCCTGCCCCCAGGTGCTACCACAATCAGTAAGAAAAATAGTGCAATCAATGAGAACCACCCGGTGGGGCTGCCCTTCACACCACAACCTCTGCTCCCTGACCTGCCCCACACCTGCACACTTACCCCCCCAGCCGCTGCGCTGGGGCAGCCGCTCATGCCCAAGGGGCTGCTGTCACTGCGCTCCCTCCATGCAGCACCTCCAGGCTCCGCGCAGGCCGGTCATGGGCAGTGGCAGGATGTGACTGTGAAGCAGAACTGGATTTTTTACCATTTTTTGGGTCTGGCGCTCACACACGCGCTCACTTTGGTCGAGCACTCAGCTGGTGCCTCGGCTCTCATGCTCCAGCATCCACAGGCTCAGCTGGGACGTGTCACACCATCATGGTTTGTAAAAGCTCAGCCTTCAGCGCGAGTGCAGACTGCTTTAACCAGCCTCTTGCCACACAAGGTCACTGCAGAGCCAAGGGCATGAAGACCCTTGTTTATTTTATGCAATGTGAGAAAAAAGTTCTGAAATCCACACAGGTATGAAGTGGAATGGTCCCTGAATACCTGAAACCTGCAGCGAAAACCCCCTCACCTCGGTGAGCTATGGCTACACCACATTGGTGTTACATTCTCGTGTCTGACAAGAAATACATGATCTGTGATCCTGAGACAAACTGTTCAGCGCTTTGAGCACAACGTCTGGCATGTGGTCTGTTATCATCTTGGGACTTATTAAAATGCTGCTGAAGACTGTTTCATTTGACCATCTTGCCGTGTATTTAGTATCTGAAGAGCACCACCTAAAACAAAGCACACCATAACATAACAAAGCTCAGACTGTTGGATCTGGTGCCCAGTGCCAAGCCTAGAACTGGCAAACTCAAGGCTTCTGCCCTTGCTCAGGGAGGAACCAGAACCTTTTCCCAAAGAGCCACAGTTCAGCCCTTCAGCACACAGCTGGAAATGCTGCCATTACTTGTCCTGAAGGCAGAACACCACCAAATTACACAGTGCCTTAACAGGGAAAGAACTGAGCAAATCATCCCACCCAAACACAGGCTACAGCCTGAGCAAAGGGGGTGAGGGGTTAAGCACTACACAGCCACATAATCAATGTCAAATGCAGGGAGTAAGTCACAGACATACCAGTAGGAGACTGGACACTAGATTTAATACTGCACATACGATGTATTTAGGGTTTTATTTTACAGAACAGTACATAATAGGGGCTCTTGTGTGCTAGTCCAATTGAGGAAAAAACCATGACCAACTGCTGCGCTGTGCAGTAAATAAAGGGTAAGGAATGAACTAGAAGTAAATCAGAAGAGCATCAGAAGAGCCATCAAGGAAACCTGCCACGTCACAGATGTTAAGCTAGCTAACTCGTAAAACCAGTGGTAAAATCGTTCAACATTAAAGATGTGAAATTTAAACAAAATACTAATCTACTGAATGGGAGGAAAAAAGCAGATTTCTTCTCCAGCCCTTTTCTCTTTTTTCCCTTTGGTAGGATGGTTTTGTGCAAGTTACAGATGCTCTTATTTCTGTTTCAGAGTGAAAGAGGAGAGGATATCAAGTGCAGTCTAGCTTGTGGGCTGGTTCAGATTGCTTTGTCTAAAAATCTTAGCAGCAATAAAACTCAAAAAAACCCTGCTAAACATACCAGTGCCCCAATACCACCACAATCCTCACCCTCCCAGCAGTTTCAGCTTTCCTGCTGTCTTTGTCCTACCTTCCTGCATCTGCAAAAAAGCAGGCAAGGACAGGAAAGCAAAGGCTGCATGGGCACACTGGTTACTGTGGGGCTAGACCTCTCCTGTCTGGCTAGGCCAGTATTATGGGCAGTATTTTGTCTCCTCATCACCAGTATTTCAGTGACTACTCAATAACAAGATATTTTGTGATCACTTTACTACTAGCAGAACATAAGACGGCAAGATCTGCAGTCTCCGGCAGGAGCTGCAGCATGCCAAAGCTGAGCTGAACAGTCTGTTTAAAATCATCACATGAGCACATGCAATAAAAGGGCAAAAAGGTACACGGGGACAAAGAGCAACAGTTTCCAGGGCTTGAAGTGAAACCGAAAGCAGCAAGGAGGCACAGAATGAAAACTGAAAGGCTGGCTAATGCCTGAAAACCAAAGATGGGTACTGGAGATGCAGATGAGACACAGAGCTGGAAACATGTACGTTGAAAGAGAGAAGCAGCTTTAAGTAGATTTTAGGCAAACAGGACAGTGGTATTTGTTACTCTACTTACGTCCTAGAGCTGGATTCTTCTACAATATGGATAATCTTGCCAGGGAGATACAGACGAGGATACTGAGGTGGTGAATTGAGGTGTGATTCATCCTCGAGGGTGTTGTATGACGGTGAGCGATGAACCATTAAGCTCTCCTCAGCCAGAAGTGGCTGGGTGAGGGCATCTTGGTTTCTACCATCCAGCTCCGTTGGGAAGTTATCCGGATCTCCTCCAAATACTTCGTACCAACACCCCCGCAGCAAGATCTGGTACTGAATTCAGAAAGAAATAGTCAAATTGAGGTTTGGCATCTCTTCAACTAACTTACTCATAGTTGTGTGCTTGCACGCGCATCACCTGAAACTACAATCAGAAGATTAAAAATGACTGTATGCACATGCTCCCCTAACTTCCTGTTTGGTAAAACCTCCTTACTGAGTTTTTCCCACAGTATTATCTATTATTTCACCCACTACCTAACCTAATGCACTAGTAACACGACCAAAACCATGACATTCTTCACCAGTTCAATTACTCAGGGTGGATTCAGCTCTGCAGATGTAGGTTTTCTTGTACCTGAAACTTCTAACTGTCCATTATCTTATTCTGTATTTATAACATCACCCAGGTCCTTTACATTACTCCTCATCCTGGGATTACCTGGACATCTTGTGAGTGCAGCAGATTTAGCTTAGATGTTCAGAAGTGGCAGTTCTGAATCTTTAAGCCACTCCTCTCTACCTCCACTATCCCCGGCCTCACACCACAATGATCCAGCACCTTCAAGACACTGTTTTTCACTAACAGTGAAAAGAAGAGGTAAGCAATTAGCACTGTGACAGAGAAATATTTGCTTTCCAAATGAATTCTGAAGGTAAAATTTAGGTAAACCCACTAATTTGATTACTTACTGATACTAAATAGTTACTAAAGTAAGTAATCTTACTTATTTTTTCACTATTTATTTTAGCTGGTTTGTTTGTTAGTTTCTCCCCATTTTCAAGTTTCCTTATCAGCAAAACTAGCAAACAGGTAATTTTGGGCCTTGGAAGTTGTGCACAGGTATCTCCCGGGTCTTATTGAATCTTAATTTCCAACAAGACAGCTTTATAGGATAGGAGAATAAAACAAACATCACTGAATTAAGAAACACACACTTTTGTTCCAAAACACAACTGTAACTCTCATTGTTAAGATCAAAAATACACACACCAACTGTCCCTTCATTAAAGCTGGGGCTGAACTGAGGTAGCAATTCCCCCGACTTAAACCAGAACTGCATTTAATTACCTTGGGTCTGTTGCAGTTTGCCACAATTCTCACTATTCTCCTCTTTAAATCCTCCATGTTGGGCATACTTAACCTGTTCAAACACACATAGAACAAGGTAAAGCCAAGCCTGCCATTCTCTGCAATCTAACACATGCCTGAAAGAGCAATTTAAAAGTATTTCCATCTCACCTTGCCACAAGGTCCTTTCCAACAATCACTGAAACAATGAAGTGCTTCGTGTAATCTGCAAGTGATTTGCTTTAACAAAAAAAGGAGACACATTTTAGATACAATGAAGAAATATACACACTTCAGTGTTATGATGATCATTATAATTTAATAGAAACACAACTATGAGGCAACGACAGCAGCATTTGCAGCCAGTTCTTCAGTACACTTCGAGATCTACCCGCTACAGATGATAGAGTAACTTCAGTGCTGATTATAATGGTATGTGTAGATGTCAAACAGACCAAGATAGATGGGTCAGGTGAGCATTTTATTTCCAAAACTTTTAATTTTAACTCTAATTATACTACCTGATAGTATACAAAATTCACTAGATACATTTAATTCGGTAATATTCCCCCAAGAACTCAACTATAACTCAAGATGGAGCAAATCCAATTCTAGTGGAGAATGCATAAACAAACTCTTAACACAGAGAGTTATTATCTAATGTATGCCAACTACCTGGAAAATATTTACATCTTCGGCACACAACTAAGTTACAGAAGTCTCTTACCTTAACAGTCCTCCTGGGGGAGAAAAGGCATAACACCTTAATGTTGGGAAAATGATCGCCAGTATAGAAGCTGTTCCACCACCCAAACTGTGACCAACTATCACAAGTTTATATTCCTATAGACAGAGAGAGAAGACTGAAGCATAGACAGAGAAAAAGCTGTGTGTTTTTTTCTGGCAAACCAAATTATTTAGAAGGTAACTTACTGGAGCAATTGTGAAAGCCTGGTTTAAAATTCCATCATTTATTAGCTTCTGATAGATGTAGTTTGCAGCTTGAGTTATTCCCTACAAGACAGCATTCAAAGTTAGAAGGGTACATCTAATCTGAAGTGTGAGACACATATACTTTAAATACAACACCATCACAGAGCAACTTCCCTTTGGCAAAGCTGATCTTCGTTTTCTCATGCTCCTGACAGAGGTCTAGTTACAACCAAATGATCTTACATGTAATGGCTAAAAAGTTTTTAGAATATTTAATACGGACATGAAGCCTGCCAAGAGGATTACAAACTCTGCCTTGCAGTTCCAGAGGCAGTATGTGATGCAACTAAGTCACTGAAATAAATCTGCAATCCATCTCACAAGATGCGAGATGTGTTTAACTAAAGGATCCCATGTGTTTATAGATTCCTTACTGCTGAGATAATCTATCCATAGCCACTGACTGCACACACCTTATGCACAAAGCCGTTCTCTAGAACATCCTCCAGTGTCAAGTCTTCACAATCTGCTGACAGATCAGTGAGAATGTCCTGTGAACAAGACAGCTTTTGTCAGACCTCTCTGCAGGGCTTCATGGCTCATGCTCTGCTAGTTGACACTGTCACACAGACATCAACAGCCTGACTTCCAAGTGTGTAAGCAACAGAACACAACCCACCATAAACCACCACCCAAGCAAATACAGCCATCACAGTCCTGATTTCAGCAACTATTTCCAAGCTGCAAACACAAGCATTACAAATGCACCTCTGCTCACAGAGGAATTACCACCACCCACCCTTCAGACTCACTTTCAGTGGCACAGGAATATTACCCATCCAAGGACAAGAGGGCTTACAACTTAAGCCTGGAAAACTCACACCTGTGAGTGAGTTATTCTTAAATGTGCCAGTGTACAACAATTTCCTCTGGTTTACTGGGAGTTCACCCACTTCTGTAAAGCTAATTATTTCTATCAGATGGATGATACCTCAAAGGACAAGGTTCCTCTCACTGCAACCACAATAGCTTCTTTTTTGTGATCCAAAGCAACAAAAAATGGGATCTCATAGATCTGGAGGGGAAAAATGTAATCAGTAATGACACCAAGTTTTTGTTAAGAGTAAGCATTTGTTCTCACCTTCTGAAAGCTCTCTTATTGAGTTCTCTATTATGTTATGGAAAGAAGCTGAATTACTTTCTTATCAACTTACCCTAGGTGCCTTTTTTGCAATACTGAGGCAGATTTATGTCAACAAATTTGTGGCTGTTCCTTTAGATTAGAAAAACAAACAAGCCCAATGTCCAAACCAAAAGTTTCAGGGCCTGTTTTCATTTGGCTTTGATTCTTGCACCTTATAAATGCTGAAGGCAAACTAGAAACTTCACCCGTTGCTTTCCCTGAATTAATCGCTAAGTGTTTTTGCTGAATGCCTGTCCAGACTGTTTACCTTGTTATGAAAACTGATATGAATGAAGTCTCTGTACTGCAGTCCTGTTATTCTTAGGATGGATCCAAAGTGAAAGTTATGACGATCACTGCCAGTTATATCAGAATCTGTTGGTCTATTTCTGCAACTAACAAACACACAGAAGAAAGAAACTTTCATGCTCCAATTTTTTAGGCTTCCTTTCAAGGAATCAAACTTAGTTACTTCTGCAGAAGGATTTCTGCCAGGAATCAAAAGCTCTTTTTGGTTTGGTTTTGCAATAATACCAGTAGTCTGATACAAGATGTTACCTCTGCCCACAAGCCTGGTTTTGCCTGAGCAGCATGCCACACATTTTCAGTTCAAGGACTGGCAAACACATCATTGCTATAAGACTATCAGTAGAGCAAACAATGCAATAAGACAAGAACCCTTAAGACTACAGGCCAATGAGAGAAAATACAGACAAACAAAAAGGAAATTCAAAACAAGTTCTGCCATCAGGCTTATCTCATGTTGTATCCATCGTGTTATGTGGCAATTTGTTCCCCAAGTCATTTATATTTCTGTATGTTGTATTTCATGTTACTAATTAAGAGAATCATGGTTACAGTCACAAATGTCAATGGTCACTCAAATATACAGTAATCCTGCACAGCATTACACATACTTCAATATAACTATGAACATTTTTTTGCATAAAGGGGGCAAAGGGAATAAAATGGAGGCTGGAGGGACAGGCAACTTTTGCTAATATCTTTAAGACAGGGAAAATTGTTGATACACTCTTATTCCTATACATACACATATGTGCCCAAAAGGCAGCTCTGAAAAGCCACATTTTAGAACATGCTTGGTTTAATTCCAATTCTCCCTTTGTCATTTCACTGACTTATCTCAATCACAATCTTTCCTTAAGAAAAAAAACCAAGCTGAAAAGACACTGAAATTTTGTTTCTACTGAATTTGTGAAAGATAAGTCTACCAGTCAAGCTCATGTACTCCCAAGAGAGAGATAATCTAATGCAACAAAAATACTGCTATTGAAACTATGTTATTTCTGCTAATGCTAATTACATAAAAGGAAGCTACGTGGTTTTAAGCTCTTGATCAAACCTACCAGTCACCATTGAGCTTACAGAGTGCAGTAAATGGGTTGGTGTAGACGTAGTAGGGCCAACCATAAGCAGCTGCAGCAAACAGCATATAGTGAGCAGCGTTCTCCAACTCAATATCCAGATCATCTGTCTGAAAGGACACAGGGAAAGAAAAGGAAGGACAAAGAGGAAGGAAGGTGAGTTAGGCAGCCCCAGAATAAAACCTGAATACAGACTAATGGAAATGAAGGCACGATGGAATACAACTATCCAAAAGGAAAACCTCGAGGTCTGAGAGGAACTAAAAATAGCCACTCATATTCCAGGAAAAAGTCTGTGTTTGTTTGCATGGCTACACAGCTCAGGAATCTTGAAAAGCTCTCATTAAATCTGCTTCTTCCAATACTTACGCACTGATAAGCTCAATACCGAAAACAACATTCACTCCAAATATGTTACTTAAGGATGTCAAAAGGCCAACTTTGGCAAAGACTTCTGCAGCATGACCCCATTATATTGGCTGGATACAAAAGGAGTTTGACAGTAATGCACTGGTTGAAGTAAAATTACATACTTCTATGAAACACAGACCAAAGAGGGCAAAATAATTTACAAAGGCATTTCACCATAGAAAACTAGCAAAAATCAATTAGCAAACTGTAAATCTGCAAGCATTTTAAAGATGCTACTTTTGTTTCTTACCTTGTCTGCTTATTTGCAGCAGGCATAATTTAAACAGACCACAATACTAAAAGACTAGCTTTTCAGTTCTGTGTGACTAGTACTAAATATTAAATTTTCTCTCTGTTCCCTTTCTCTCCTGGCTCTTCAACAATGATCAAATGTCCTAAATGGTTCCCTTTTTGCACTTAATTAGTTATGCAAAAGTGGACAAATGTTTTGACTGCAAACTCATCAAGATGTTTTCACTACATTTATTAATAATTTTAATTGTTGTGAATTTTTATGGTAGTGTTTAATTTTGTTAAAGAAACAAAACCAAAAAACCCTTGCACAAAGAACAGCGTTTCAATTTGACCTGGCACCATCTCCTACAGTACATTAAACCAGAGGCTGCAACAACCCTATCTTACCACAAGAGATGATGGAGAATGACACAAGACTTCTTCAGGCTCTTTTGGGCAACTTTCCATTTTATCTTGCTCTTGATGGAGCAGAGTCAAACCAGCTGCTATGTCACTTGGCACCAGATCAGTGTCCTGTACAAAGAAATGAAAAAGTGCTTAAAACAATCCCACATCTCAACATGGCAAAACCACCTCATAAGAAAATGCACATGGAATTGTATTTCTTCTGTTTATAAATAAATACATTTCACTCAGAGGGAATGTGCACTGAAGACAGCAGCATCCAACCTCCCACGCCTTCTATACATACTGAATATTTTCTTCAGTAGGACTGATGACAATTCTACTCATAATTTTCATCACTTAACAAAATACCAAATAAAAGGTGTTTTTTCAGCTAAGGACACGCTTTGCCATGTAGCAAACAATCATCCAGACATTACTGATCACTGTTCTACACCACCTGTAGAACACTGTGTAGAACTGATCACTTTTGACATGCTGTGTGAAAAGTTCTCTACACTGAGAACAACCGAGAGGCATTTTACATGGGAGAAGGCTGAAGGGTTTATACTGAACCATCTGGGTCAGTCATCTTGCCACAGTACTCACGCCCTTTACCCTGTAAGTCACTGAGTGGCCTGTTGCTATAATCTGCATGCCCAAGTACTGCCTAATAATGAAGAACTACTAGTCTTGAAATCATGGACAGATTTCAAAGTCAACACTGAACTATGACTGCCCAAGAAGTAAGTGACACAAATTTGAGCTCAATCAACACGAGGCAGACTCCAATTTGGCAGATGCTGTTGCCAAAAAGCAGCTTCCTGCGTGTGCATGCTCTAGTCTGGCATGTGCTCAGAAGTGGCTCAGAACGGGAAGATTGCCTTAACATACTGTGGGGCTCATTCTTTCAACAGTCAGAAGGAAGTCAGATTCTTTGCTATGGGTATGACTTCTCACTCATCATCAGTAGGAAAAATGCCTGAATCTTCACAAATCGAGGAAAGGAAACTCACCCTTGTTCTCCTGACTAGATAGAATACTGCTTTCCCACAGCCCTTCATGCTTGTGAAGGGAGAGAAACCTTTGTTAAATGGAGGGAAAAATCAGTGTTGCATACATTGTATGAGAATCACCTTTAGTTTTGAAACTGACATATTCAAAACTCATCTGAAGGCACAGGGACCTCTGGCTGACCAAAGGTACATGTGTGTTGCAAGGTCTGCAAATTCAGTTAGTCAAAAGAGAACATAAATAAAGCTTTCCATCTTACTGAAAAGTAGGTGCGGAAGAGCTCTGCGATACTTGTAAAAGCCACTCGATGGTCATCATCTTGCACAATGCAGCAGCACAGTAACCTGATTCTTTTTTCCCAGACCCTGGTGGCAGTGTTCTTCACGTTATACAGCAACTGTCCTGACTGACTGCTCTCCAGGTTCCGACTGACACTATTGGTGAGGTAAAATGTCTTTTTCCCCCCAAGCGGATCAAAGACGATTACAACTCCAATGATGGTAAAGATGATGATAACCCAGCTGCAAAACAGAAGGAAGTGGGATAAAAAGGCTGTGAAACTAGATACTGACAAGAAAACACAACTACAGATCTTGACAGAAAGAAAACTAAGTTGGGTATGAAATACTGTATAAACATCATCTGCTACTGTCTTAAGGGTGCATGTCTTGTTACCAGGCTTTCAATTCACCAGGCACATGAACAAGGCACATTTCACAGAGGGCACCAAACTCAAACCACAGCCCTGTGCTTGCGAAATAGCAAGCCAGGGGTGTGAAGGCTCCATTTTTCACTACCAGTTATCTAGTTACTACCCTCTTCACATTTATCCAGTTTTCTGCATTCCCACCTATCCCTCTTAGCCTTTCTGATCTTCACCTCCTTTCCTTTACTCTAGCACATGCTCATTCAGGGCAAGCAGCTAAAGCTTGTTTAGGAAAAAGTACCAACTCATTCTAGCTGTCTAGATTTACAAATTCTTATCCTTTTACAGTGAAAACCCTTCTATGAGAATCCACAATAATTTATACGATATCAAAGTCTCCCACTGCTGGGAAAGCCTTCAATAAACATGTACAAAACCCATGTCAGCAGTATTTTCCACTTTACATATGCTTGGATCTGGGGGAAGGAACCTTTACCTTGCAATAACTGTCCCCATGACGGCATTTATCACAGTCTTCTCACAGTGCACACTGCTGTCTGATACCCATACAGCTCCTACAACAGCCCAGATGAATTCAGGAAAATAGAGAAGTAGGCGAGTATAAAGTAGCTTGGGAAGTGATTTTCTTGGGCCTGGATTAGAAATTGTTCCTGAAATCACAGGGAGAATTTAAAACAAAAACTGTTTATGACCACATGTTAAGTACACAAAATGCTACCTGGATATCTGAGCTTTCCAGAAAGTAAGAAATTTTCATAGTCAATGGAAAGTTATTACTGAAGCTGAGAAAAGAAAAACAACAATGGGTTTATCTCTGTGATTCTCGGAATCTCCTCTACTAATGCCCAAAACTTACTCTCTAGGCAGAGGCAGTTCTGCAGTGAACACAAGGCAGCAGTGCAGTGCCCAGCACAAGGCAAAGTGGCACACTGGAGCACTGGCTCATGTAAAGTTCCTTTTGACTTCTGGTGACTGCTTTTATTATTATTCTATTTAGCTTTCAGTTGGCTGAGTATTTCATTTTTAGATACTAGTTTGCTGGGCCACAATATAAGTTTGCCAAGTCACTAAATAATAAATTAATTCACATTAGTATTTAGCAGAACAAAAGTAGGACCACTACCAGCACAAATACTTCTTAGATTATTTTCTGTATTGGCAGCTTAATAATAACCTCTTCATTTCAGCACTCTCAGGCAATAAAAAAAAGGAGTAATTTCTGGCCGGCTCAGCTCCTTAAACCAGTTTGCTAATCACAGGGTAATGAGGTGGTGGGTGTGTGTGCTCATGTGTAGGCAGGAAAATTTGTAAAGGCTTAAACCACAGCAGAACAAAAGCGACTCTGGAAACTATTTACCAATTGTAAAGCTGTGGTTCACATCCAGTGACAAAGCTGTTTAAAAATCCCTTGATCCAGTGGTCACTTATCCCATTCCCGGATTGTTGCCTGTACCAGAGCAGCACAGTTGCTTACAGGGACACAATCAGATGGAACTGTGGTTCCTGAAAACAACTTCTTTCCTTTCCCAGCACCACAACCCAGTGTATGAGTTCTCCAGTCAGATGCACCACTTTCATCACTAATGCCCACATCAGTACAGTGCAAGGGGTCATGCAAGAACCACTGCTCCCAAACCCCCACATTTAAACGAGGCCAAGACATCTCACCATTAATTTTCTTGGAAATTCAGCCTCAGAATTCTTCCATGTCTTAGTTCTAATGGCCTTGTAGCTGTAGCTGTATACCAATCAAGGCTCTTTTCTCACTGCTATTTACAGTTATATCTCCAGCCTCCTCAACTTTGATATAAATATAAGTAACATATTTCCTCCTCTGGAAACTGTAGGAAAACCAGTGGTCAAGATTCAAGGCCAGGATTATCATCCACATCTCTACTCTGTCATGGTTTCCTTCATGTTTCTTTCCACTTAAATAATTCAAACACTTTTATTTACAGTGTGTTGTGAGAACCAATATATTAGAAATTGTGGGGTCTCGTCTGCAGAGACCACACACATACTTCGAATTAATCTTGTATTACTTTGATAATGAGGTGCCTCACCAGGAAAAAAAGCTGCCTTAGCATTTTTTAGTTCAAAATGAACCATTTCTACAAATAACTAGAAGTTGTATTGCGGTCCTTACTCTTCACTTACTTGAAGTCAATGTTTAGCCATTCACTTCAAGCTGTAAGTCCTGTTCTATTTAACAGTACTTACTGAGTTAGTTTTACTATGACATTTACACAGATCCCTTTCCCATGTGTGTTTTTCCCCAAGCAACCCACCACAGCTACTGAATGTTAACAAGTCACAACAGTATCTGCCTTTGCAAGGAAAAGCTAACATGACACTTCAGATGAGAAAATTATTTTGGATAATTTCCCCTGAATTCCTGTTGGAGAGGCTGAAGTGTTGCATCTGAGGTCACATATTAACGGTGAATGCAGAGAAAGGTTTCAAGGTGCTCCGATGACAGTGAACATATCACCATTAGCTGCATTAACCTGTTGTGTCCACTTACGTTAGATTCCTGACTAACAGAGGCAACACTATTAAAGCAAATAAATTAATACTGACAGCTTCTCATGTTCGACTACCACTAAAGCACTTGAATTTTACTTCACTTTTAATGTCAACTCCAGATTAAAAAAGCATATATGTTACAATTCTACTAGATTAATATAAACTATTAACTATTTACCTTGCATACTGATGTACACAAGAGCAGATAACGCACATATTATAGCAGCCAGGAGAACGAGGAGGACAAGCAAGTAGCTGTGCAGTAATCCTCCCCCGGGACAGTTAAACCGCCCCTTGTGAACCGCATAAAGAGCAAGAATTCCAATCCACCTACAGGAAAATGAGATAAGAGAGTTATAGTTGGAACAGCGCACACTGCACAGCGATCACCTGATAAAGTCTTCATCTTAATGACAGCATCCCACAACGATTAAAAGAAAGGGAGTTGTTATATTAGGAATCTGTCGGGATCAAAGAACTAAACGGATGCTCAGCAGTAATTACAACGAAGTCGCTGCAGACCGAGCAGCAGACTCGCTCTGTGGTGCGCTACTCACTGCCGCAGGTCCCGGCGAACCTGGGCTGATCTCTACGAAGGAATCGCCGTATTAACTCTGGCAGGAACGAAACCACGTTCGCACCAGCCACGGGCTGAACACAACCCAGCAGTTAGGGTTCCGCGCACGGAACACAGGCGGTAGGTAACGCGGCGCTGTGCCGTTA